CATAACACAAATCTCTTGATCTTATTAGTAATAATAGTAAAATCTAATGGAACTTAATATTGATTTTATTAGAATAACTTTTATTACTTCATCAAGCAATTCATGAATACTAATTATAACTTTCACATGATTTTGATTATCAAGTGTGAGCAGATGCTAATATTTTAAAAAACTTATTATTATCAGATGATGAGTGGAAATATTTGAATGAATTAGTAATTTTACTGAAACTATTTGCTACCACAATTACACTCTTAGGTGAAAGTCAATATCTAACACTCTCACAAATATTTCTCACTTTTCACAAACTTTTTCATCACCTAGATACAATGAATTCAACAGTTATCTATCTGGATATTCATATAGTTTTAGAAAAAATTTGTGAATTATTAACAAAAAGATGGGAGAATTCAAATATTCTTGATTATATTGCATCATTTTTGGATCCAAGATTTAAAAATCTAGCATTTATATCAGAAGAAAAATTCAACAAATTATTGAAAAACTAAAGAAAAATATTATAGAAAGTATACCAACTATTTTTGAATCCTCTGATAATTCAGCTCAGATTTCTTATTTGCAAGATCAATCTCTTATGTTATTATTTTACAATGATTTCAACACTACGATGATTACTACTGAAACACTTATTGAATCAGAACTTCGTATTTAAAACAAATAAATGCAGTTAATTGTCAGATTTATTTTAAAAGAAATATGCTAATCGATATATCCAATCTCGAGAAAATCAAAAAAAGCTTGATCGGATACTTTTGATAAGGTAGTGTATATATCTGAAATTTCATTTTTAAAAAAAATCAGGCGTTACTTTTTGTGACAACTGTATATTTATTTGTTTGCATGCAATTCTGTGATTACAGAATTTGTACATGTACAATAAATTTCAGTTCACAATAACAAAGCTAATAAAAGAATATCTGAAAATTGTTTTTCGAATGGAATATTTATCAATGCTAAATCTCTTGTAAAAGAGGGATTTGAAATAATTTATAAAATAACTTTGTTCTTTGAATCGAATTTATTAAAATAAGTTGAGATATTTGAAAAAATCTTCCTTCACTGATCGATGTAGACATGAAGTTTGACGCAGGTTTTAAATTTTTGAAGTAAATGCATAAAAATATAAGAAAAGCCAATGTCTTAAAATTAAAGCTCCGTTATTTCGGATCAATCCGTGACCCGAACCGAATCTGAGATTTCGTTGCCGGTTCGGATTGCTATTTTTTCAATCCGAAAAAAATCGGTTCGTTCCGGGTTTGCATCAGATCCAAAACAGTAAAAACCCGGCTGATCCGATGATTTACATGATGAATACCGATACATGTTTAAAAATTCGAACGTCCCGGTTATATCACACATATATAAATAATCTGAAGTAAATATTCGACTAATGTAAATTGCATTTAAGTGGATTTTGTTGCTTTTTTGTTATATTCGTAGGAATTCTTTTTTGTTATTTCATCTCGTTCAAAGTTCATTTAATTTCTGTCTCTTTAAATTAATACACTCTTTAATTTCTTCATTTGTCTTGGGATATTCTAAAGAATTGTAGTACTGAAAACACAAGCATATCTTCATAATCTTAGATAGATCCGATAAAGACATAAAGTTGGTCTGTTTTCTGGAATAGGATCCCAACATTTTTCAATAATGAATTGGTATCATAGCTTGCACTCATTTATAGATGTCTTACTGCAAGATCATTTCCATGACTTCGTTCACCAGATACATAACCATTTCAAACTATAAATGTCTGCAGCGGAGTACATGTATAAAGCTTTCCATTTAGCACCTCTGGACTCATAAAAGAAGTACTCCACAGATTTCGTGGTTAGATTTTTCTATATTTGTTGGATGCTAAGTCCAAACTTCGTAAATTTTTGTTAGATTATTGGCATCCAATATAATTTCTTTTTTCAAATTAATTTTTCGTGGTTGGATTAATATCAATATGTATTTACAGAGATCACTATTTTCTGCATAATCCATCAAATTGGGCGGGGGGGGGGTTTTTAGTTATTTCATTATAATCATTGCTGCAGTTAAGAACAGTCTGAATCTATTTTGAAAATTTAATTGTATCAGGACAAAAAGCAACTTTCATTTTAGAAAATATTTATTTTTACCTCTTGTAAATAAGCTTTGGAGTAATTTGGTTTGAATTGTGCAATGATTCACAATTTTTCTCACTTTCATTTAAATTTATTTTTTTATATTCCTATTGCTCTAATAATAATCATCCAACCGAGCCATATAAGAATCGATGCCGTAAAACGCGCAATTTACGTATGTTTACGTGCATCGATTTCTTATAGGGGAGGTTGCTTTATAAATAAACCCAAAACCTCCTTTTGCAAGATATTCAACGTTGGTAAATCTTTCAGAAGGAATCCATTCGAATGTATTTTTATAATTATAATTAACTTTGTTACATTCTTTTATTAGATTTTCGATATCTTAAATTCGTTTGTGATAATCGAAACAGCCATCGCAGTATTCATTTTCTTGGCATTCATAACCTTTACTTTAATCATGAGTATTGTGAGCTAAATACTCTTCGCAGTATCTATTTTCTTGACAATCAGCACATGATAAGTATTCGATTCTATCTTTGAGTCTACTTTATATTCGTGAAGATCACCATAGAATGCATAAGTCATTACTATTGAATATTCGTTTGTACCTGTGTTTTTAGCCATTCCATAATATACTATTAAATTGCCGTAAACATAGCGATAGTCTTTAAGCTCCGTTTGAATCTATTTTTGAAAACTTGATTGTATTAAAAAGACAAAAAAAAATTTTCACTTTAAAAAATGTTCATTTTTTACCTCAGATACATATAAACTCTTGAATAATCTGCTTGGAATTGTGTAATGATTTCAACACAACTTCATGCTCTCGATATCTTTATCTCCGCTAGACAATCCATCGTTATAAATTCGTTTGTGATATTCGAAACGATCATCGCAACCCCAATTACTTTGACAACGAGTACACTTATCGCAGTATCTATTCTTTTGACATTTAGTACATTTACAGTATCATCTTGAGTTACACTTTGTATTTGTGAAGATCATCATAGAAGGCATGTATCACTATCAAGTACAAGTACATGTACAGGGGTTTTTAGTCATTCCATAGTATGTTATCAAGTGCCGTAATCATAGCATATAAGCTCCGTTCGAATCTATTTTTGAAATATTTGATTGGATTACTCTTTGAAACGCAATATGCGATTATAAAAAATATAGTCAAGTTGAATGATTATAAAGATATGCTATCAATGAATATGTTTATAAAAGGACTTAACTATATATTTTTTATGTTATCATTATATATTTTTATTTTATTGTTTTGATTTAAAGAGTTACTAATATCTTTAATTTGTTCTTTTATTTATAAATTTTTCCTACAATAATGTATTAAAGATAAATGAGCAAAATATAATAATATTTTATTATTGAATAGATGTCAATTCATGATTTTTTTCTTTTCATTCTGATTATCTTTACAATATTTTTTTTCGTAAAATCCTTTTCATAAATGCTGAGCGGTAACCAATTTGGGAGCTCTCAGGTCGTAATCATCCGAGATGTGTTATTCTTGCATCATGCGTCGTCGTTATCTGGTTCAAATCGTACTCCGGTTTCCGTCCAACTACCACGTGCGTTTTTGAGTTTCGTTATTCAAAGATGATTAGAGGAGACGAAAGCTACTAAAGTCGTAATGAAGTCAATGCAAAAAAATGCTGGAATGTATTATTTTATATGAATATTTACATATTTAAAAAAACAGAAATAGATAACCGAATCGTTGTCTACTATCGCAGAACACAAAATTTCCATAACGACAAGGAAGAGTCTCATTATACGTCCTCTGTACTCCTTAAGAGATAGAACTAAGGAATAGTGCGTGTTTGTTAAATCATAGATAAAGTATTCTTAGCTAATACAAGAAAATGGTTAGGTGAGCTACAATTTTAAAAGAATAATACGAAAGTTTTCAGTAAGAAAATCTTTTGAATGGCTTTTCGTTATCACAAACGAATTCTACGAATACTTAATCGGAGTTCTATTCCTTTATATATTGTAGATGGCTATTTCATGGCAATTGAACAGAAATGACATAATAAACCGTGCCCATTTTAATTGGACATATTTCTAAAAACAGTACATGATAGAGACCGAAGATATTACGTCATAGAGAAAAACCGTTAAATGATCATACGTCAAAAAACAAAGCTTTTATTTCTTTGGATTACTTTATGCTCCGAAAAGTACAAAATGAATTATTACATGTGTTATGCGTTCATATGTTTGATAACTAACACGCAGTTTAATAACCTGAGTAACGCACGCCGCCGTCGGAGGATTCGATAGGATAGCATACCCATCATAACTGCTTTTTTAATATTTTGATAAAAAATAATTTCGTCATCTCTTCTAATCACATATTTTGATCCTTTTCACATGGTAAAATTCAAGATGTTTTATTGCATTATCACTTTTATTTTTATTTATTCTAAAAGCTACTCTTACATATACGAAATTTGTCAACTTAAAGCTATATTTAAAATTTCTCTTATTTGACTTAATCATAAATTTTTAAATTCTATATAATTTCATAAAAAAACTCATAAATCATAGGCAAAAAAAGTTTAAATTCATAATCCTATATAATAAATCTTGTAAATTCCATAAAAATTATATAATCTTAGCATAAAACTCGTATAAAGTAATCTTAGAATTAGTTTCGTGTTGTAAGAGTAGCTCGTTTTCTCTGATGATATGATTTTTACGAATAAATGATAAAAAAAATGGTATGGAGATAAAATATGATTCTAGATAAAAAAAAATTGTATATAGAGAGATAAAATATGATTCTAGATAAAAAAAATTGTAGATGGAGATAAAAAATTGTTTCTGATAAAAAAAAATGTTCAATTTACAAATATTTACACTAATAAAAAAATGTTTTTAAAGATCGAGTAACGATAATTCAGGGAGAAAATCGATATCAGATAAAGTTGGTGGTTGTTGTTGCGGCGGATTTGTTGACATCATGCTTAATAATGGCGATGTTTGATCATCCGCAAATGAATCACACGAAGCAGCGGTCATCGGAGTTAAGGTTGAGTAATCATATTGACTAAACGGGGAATAATTAGTGGTTGCAGTAGTTGGTGTATCAATGGCATCATTGCTGAGAGTGGTAACGGGTAAGTTTGAAAGGGGAGTATAGTAACAGTTGAGGTTGAATAGATTCTCCTCGTTGTTATAATTGAACAAGTAGAAATCGTGATACAGTGCTGTGTTGTAATTTTCTTCTAACAACGAAAGATCATTAGATTCAATTATTGGAGTGGTAATAATCGGGGTGGTAAAAATGTCAACATTATGATTGTTACATGTATTATCGTTATAATCAATTTGTGGTGATGTTGTTGGTGATGATAATGATGCTGGTGTTAACGTTAATGATTCCAAAGTAGGAATATTTTTCTTTTGCTTTCTTGGATTTTTTGGTTTCTTGGTAGAAGGTGATGGTTGTTGTTGTTGTTGCTGTTCCATGACGAATTCTTGATTGTCATACTGCGTATTATCATTACCACTATTATTGTTGTTGATGCATTGTTTAGTTTTTGCATCGATATACATTCGTTCAACTTCGCGTGCTAATTTCCGATATTCAGTTTTTACGGATTGCGGCGCGACTCTCCAAGAATCCGATGCCATCTTCGACACTTTGGTCATTTTTGCTTTTTTGCTTTGTCCGTTGGTGGTTCTTGTAGCAGCTAATGATTTCAGTTCTTTGACAATTACTTTACGGAAGATAAAGAACTCATTTGGCATTCGCGGATTAACTCGAGTTTTTTGTAATAATTTGTTCACCATCTCATCGAGATCTATTTGGGGCGGAGATGGCAATGGAAATGGAAGGATTTCTTGCATTTTTCGTTCTTTTTCTTTTTCAGATTCTTCAAAATCGTTGTTGTAGTCTTCCTCAGTTTCGAACTGATTGGAGAATAAACCTTCATTTTCAGTTCCCGTCTCTTGAATATCGAATTCAAAGTTCTGCTGTTGCTGTTGTTGTTGTTCTAAGTCCATAGGCATCATTAATTGAGCGAAATCAAAATTATTATTGAAAGGAAAGAATGATTGTTGAGACATTTTTTTATGTGTTCTCAGGGATGAATTCACTGTTCTTTTATACTTTTTTTTTTTTTTGCTAATAGACGCAATTATGTTAGATCTCTATCGAGTGATTTTTGGGAGAATATGAGTGAATTCGATTTTTTTTCAAACGTAAAAAATGTCTCCCATTTATACGATCAAGTATAGATCAAAGGCGCAGTAAGACAATAAAAAACTGACATTTTTGTTTGGCAAATGTGTTATGATTACATGCGCAACGAAATTCTGTGTGGGATTTCGACGCCGTAGTCCAAAGTTAGATCATTGGTGTCATGTTATTGTTGTTACCCTCGTTAGAAGGATGTGTGGGTGCACAAACATCGATTTATAGAAGCCTTTATACACTGCATGTGTGGCTAGAGAAATAACCTTAATTCATAGAACACATGAACAGAAACCTCAAAAGTTTTTTCGTTGGTTGCCACAAACTTCGTGTTACAAACAAATGTGATTGGTTACTAGCCACAATACACTAGGAGAGAGAAGTTGATTGGTTTGTCCTTTTTTTTGCACGATAACATGTATTACTCGTATATTACTCAATAGATTTTACATGTCCGTCCTCCGGCAAGAACAAAACCACAGGGACTTTTATGAAAAAATCGGTCAAAAAGGAAATGAAAGAGAAACTCCAATTATAGTAAACACATGAATATCTAATCGCTCACCACGTGACACGCTCGCCACTTTTTTAGCCAAAAATTACGATTACTGTGCATACAGAAATTCAAAAGCTGCGCATTTTCCGGAGTAATTAACTCATTGTATGACGAAACAATTCTAATATACGAACTGCATTATCTTGATGCAGTTTGGTGACGTACGAGACCAAATATAGAAATTTGAAATGTACAAGACCAAACATAGAAATTTTGCAATAGTCAGTTGCGCCTTTGAGAAACATGACAACAATATCGATACGCACTTTGTGTGCTCGGCAAACTTAAAAAAGTGCGGAACGATTGATTTGGTTAGAAAGTCCCTAACAAATCCCAAAAAATTTCCTAGGAAACATGGAGGAATGATGTTTTTTCACAGGAATTATCATATGCATTTATTTTTATCCGGGGTTAAACTCCGTGCTTATCGTGATTGGATTGCCTTCCATCATTCTTTGAACACGTATTCAAAAAATACGCTACGAATGTTTTTCAAGAATACATGCAGATGGTTTTGGTATTTTAATAAAATAGATAAAAGTTGCATTCATGTGGGATATAGCTCATTTGGGAAAACAACAGTTGTGAACGAGAAATTTCCAAATTATGGTTCTTTTACAATGAAAGTTTGTTTGTTTATAATGGATTTGCCTAAAAAGATAACATTATTATGCCTTTTCTAACAAAGATCAACTCTCGATTTCTTCATCGATGTGTCTTAAAACAAACAAATTTTGTCATCTCTCTTAAAGTAGTAGGGATTGGCGCATAGACAAGAAAGTTTATATAACAATAACTCTCTTTTGTGCCAAGTCTTTGATACTACTATAAATACGCCGCCGTTTGATTCAAGACAAGAAACTAATCTCGTAATCTTGGTAATTTGATTTAGTTAAGAAATTGGCTGCGGTTAAGAGAAGGAAATTTATTTATTGTGCTTGAACCGGCGAGAATCTTGGATCTTGATCCTTTTTTATTTTGTTATTGTATTATGAGATTCTTCAACATTTTGACTGATAGTTCAGTTATTTTGGGATAATAATACCCACTAAATCGTCTATATTCTCACTGTCTCTTGCACCATACAAATAATCAACGCGCATACTTAAGGGTGACCAATTGAGAAAAATAACTCTGTATTATAAATAAAATACTAGAGTTTGCCAAACATGTTTCTAATTTTTTTGTACGTATTATAATTATAAAAAGTTGAATAGATAAACGATATAATGTACACATCTATAAAACAATTATTTTTTTCTCATAAATTGGGAATCTATTAAGAGAATTGCTTTTGACTATATGCAATCGTAAATTCTCTTTTTATTGAAAACCCACTACATGTATTGCTGCCGCGCAGGAGCATTGTGTATTCGACTTTAATATCGATAATTCAACCTTGACAGTTAAAATATAAAGGAGGTGTAATGAAAGAACTGTTATTAGAATAAACTTAATATATGACGAGCTGAATAATACGTACGTTCAATAAAATTATCAAATAACATATAATGCATAATGCACATACCTAAACGTGACTAATCGAGAAAATTAACTGTATTATAAACAAATTACTAGCATTTGCTAGCTAAATAGACACAAAGATCAAGCATATAAATAGCGTATACAGTTCCCTCAAAAACGAAAGCTAACAATTTTCTTTGCAAATAAGAGCAAAACAAAAATGGATTCCCAATATCAAGATTCTTTTCAGCAACAAACTCTATCGTCGCCGACACCATCATCACCATCACAGTTTTTTTCCCCGACGCAAGAACCAAACCAAAATTCGATCAAATGTCACTGTGGACTCGATGCAATACTAAAAATGGCTACGACACAAAGAAATAGTGGTCGATATTTTTACTCATGTCCGAAATACGACCCAGAAAATGATACGATCGCGTGTAATTTTTTTCGCTGGAAAGATGTAACAAATAAAACTCAGATTGATGCATCGAGTGCATCAAGGCAGCGGCAAAGAGAAACGATTGTTATTGGGACTGGTTCTCCGGCCTCAACGAGTAGATTGTCAACGCAAATCGAAATAACCGATTATGATAAAACTACTAGTAATAATAATTCGAACGTTGAAAATAATATAACAGCGAGTCAACTCGAAAAAACATTAACAAACATTGATGATATTAACAGCAGCAATGAAGACAATAGCAACATAAACAACAATAAACGATCTCAAGCCAATGCATATATAGTAAAAGTAGCTTCAATCACGGCAAAAAATACATCTGATGCTGCTGTTTCTTCGGAAAATACTAGAGAGTTGATGATATTGTCCGATTCTGACAACGAATCAACAACGGCGAAAATATCATCAAATAATTTTATCGACAGTGTAATCAAATATATATGCGAACAAAATAAAACCTTATCACATGAGAAATTATTAAAGAATGAAGCGAGACTACACGTGAAAAAGTTACAGTATGAAATTGAACAATTGAAGCAAGAGAATCAGGAATTAAGGCTGCAGATGCAAAGCATCAAAAATCTGATTCCTGAGAGAAAAAGAAAGAACAAACCCGAAAACGAGGATGAGAATGAAAATGAAGAGGAACAAGTTTTAAGAACGGGGACGTATAAAGAGAGGAAGATTGAATGATTAATGAAAAATATATTATTTACGTAATATAAAAATAGCATTAATTCAAATATTTATGTATCTATGTATTCTTAATACCAGTCAAATTTCTCTATATTCACCACCCTTACTAATTTTACAAACTATTACTCATAATTACGCGCAGTATTCGAACAAGTGATTTTATTTGCTTTATTCATGCACTACATGTCCCTCTGTACATTTGTCAAGATAAATTTTAAATTAACCAAAGAAAAATGACACCATTGATTCATTCGAACAGACTTATCGTTATAGATTCCAATTATTGTACTCTACGTACTTTTTCAGTAATCTTGGTGCAGTCGCATTATTTAGCACTTTCTGACGCTTGGGTGAAGTGCAAACCTAATATTGAACCACGATAATTCATGCTAAAACTGAAACAACAACTACTAAATAAATGTAATAATTAAAAAATATATTTACAGTAGTCATACTGGTTTCCATGTCCACCACTTTTAGCTACATGTATATGGTTTCTGAAATTAGTGATGCCACTATTACATGCACAATAAATCTGTGAAATGTTGTTATAAAAATCATTCAAATCATTTTGAAATAAAAAGCTTCTCTTTTGGAAAATATTCAGTATTTTCTTATTATTTATTCAATGTAATACATGTTCTGTCCGCAGTTGATAAAATACAACAATAACGATAATAATGATCTCATATCTTCTATTATTTCAAGCAATTCATGTTAATATATGCATTTTATAAAGTGAACTCATAGATGGAATCAAATTCGTAAAATGTTAAACTTTATGAATAGTTCAAAAAAATCATAAATGAATAAATAAATACATGTAAAATGTTTCTAAAATTTGCCTTAAAATAATATTACATGTTAATAAAACTTTGGAAAAACAAATACAATATGCACATAAATAAAAAAAATTTAATTTAAGGAGGTTAAGTAAATATTTAGGCCAGCGTTTAAGCTTGTATTTAGGGAGGTCTGACTCTATATGTAATTTAAACTTAAAATAAAAAATTGCTAATTTTAACTAACAATTAGAATATATATTTTCAAAATCGAAAGATTCAATCATTTCGGGAGCTCGATCATGACCATTTTCTTTAGCCTTTTGATACCAAATTAATGCAAAGTCAAGACTTTTTGAAACCCCTATTCCATGTTGATAAAATTTTCCAAGATTAAATTGAGCCTTATTGTGTCCAATCTCTGCGGCTCTTAAATACCATTTAAATGCTTCATCATTATCTCTATTTATCCCTTCTCCATATTCATAGCATTGTCCAAGTCGAAAATAAAAATAAGTATTACCACTATTACACCAGTCTAAAAGAATCTTGAATAAACCTTTTTCTTGGCTTTTTGAAATTAAATTTCTATCATAGCTATATCTTAATAAAAATTGACTTCTTTCATAACCTGTATCAGCAGATTTTAAAATTAACTTTAATACTTCATCTTCATATTTTTCTATATTTCTATCATAGAATATTGCAAGATTATATTCTGCCATATGATCCCCAGATTCTACTGATTTCAAGAACCACTCAACTGCTTTTTTCGCATCTTTTTGTGTTCCGATTCCTCCATTATAACACATACCAAGATTATTTTGTCCTCTAGCATCTCCACCCTTTGCTGATTTCAAGTACCACTCAAATGCTTTTTTCTCATCTTTTTGTGTTCCGATTCCTTTTTGATAGCACCAACCAAGATTACATTGTCCCAATGCATCTCCACCCTCTGCTGATTTCAAGTACCACTGAAATGCTTTTTTCTCATCTTTTTGTGTTCCGATTCCATCTCGATAACACACACCAAGATTATTTTGTCCTAATGCATCTCCACCCTCTGCTGATTTCAAGTACCACTCAAATGCTTTTTTCTCATCTTTTTGTGTTCCG